TTAGGACACTTTTCTGTTTTCTTTCTCAGCATAAACATAAACTACGTTGGAGATAAATTTTTAGACCCAATATACCAGCTAGAACGGACCTTAAAAAAAAACAGTGTTAGTTGATTTGTTTTCTTTATCCAAAATATAAGTATATTCCTTTTTTATTTTTCACTAATTTTAAAATTTTTATTGTTATTTTCTGTTGAGGTATAATGGACATATAACATTATATTAGTTTCAGATGTGCAGCATAATGATTCGATGTTTGTATATATTGTGAAATGATCACCACGATAAGTCAAGCTGACATCCATCACCATACATAGTTACAAATTTTTTTCTTGTGCTGAGAACTTTTAAGATCTACTTTCATAGCAAGTTTCAAATACTCAGTATGTTCCTTTTTTGACTGAGTGCAGTTAGCTGGGACGAGTGGCTCTGAGTCTTAGAATCAAAGAATCACGTTTAAACAGTGGAGTTGAATCAAGCTTCTCAGTGCTAATCACAGAGTCTTCAGTGAAGAAATGCCCCTGAGCAGCCTCACCTGGCTCCATCATGCTGGTATGGCGTGCAAGTGTGGATCTGTTTTTAAAACGTATTTTTTCCACTTGTCCATGCATTACCTTCTAAATGTCTTTCATTGCTTCATTTGTCCTTTCTACCTTTACTGTCCAAATAGGTGATAATTACTGCAGAAGATTTCTACCCAGCAGAGTCATCTCTGGCTGCCTATTGGGCATTTTGGAAAGATGCTGGGGAAGAGTCATTCTCCTATTAGAGTTTTATTTTCAGGGGATTAAAAAGCTTTTAAATTTCAAGAGTCCTTAAGTATGCATATTATCTTAGGAGCGGGCACTGTTTAATTATTTATTTGATTACTGATTAACTGACCATCTGCTGAGAGGAATGGGACAGTAAGCAGTATGACAATGAAGGCACGGTAAACAGGGGTAGATTCAAGAGAAAGGAATGAGAAACTCTTGGAGAAAGTGGACAAATGTTGAAGGGGACCATAACTCATGTTTTGTTTAGGTTTTGTGTAGGGCTGGCGCTGTAAAGTAATGGATTGTTTTCATTTTATTCTTATTCATCACTATACTTTACAATGTATGTCTTAGTTAAGTGTTGAAAGAGCCTAGTGACTTATTACTTGTTATTACTGGCTAGTATAAATACTTTGGTTTTGGTATTTGCTATAGTCTAACAGAGGCTCCTGAGTGTATACATTTCTATGAATTGCTAAAGTAATGTAACATTTTTGGTGATTTCTGGTACAAAGTCAGTGAAATACAGGAAAATTAAGTGCAGATGCATTTGGACAAAGCCTTAATTTATCTCTTCCTCCCTTCTCTCTGACTCTCCCATCGTTTATTTACTCATCTAGTCTCATGTTCTTGAAGGCCTTTTTGACTCTTATGTCTGCCTCATTCCTTCTCTATAGTCAAGGCCTGTTGCTGTCCCTGTGTCCCTCACATCCTTTGCTTCTTTCTGCTTGGCAGAGCCCTCTTTGATTATTATTTTAGAGTGTCATAATAATATTCCAACTTGTTTCTGGATTTCTTCTTTTTCTCTGCTAGTCCCTCACTCCCACAACCCGCCAAACGAGATTAATGTTTCTATTTTCCAATTCTGGACCGATTGCTCTCCTGCACGAAAATTTACTGGTTTTCCATTGCCTGGTAGAATAAATATAAACTCTCCAAATTGTCATAAATTATCCTCCACAATACATAAACAGTCCTTACAAGGTTTTCCCTCTTTATTACCCTATGGTAATGTATTAGCACATACATTTATGGGAGCATAATAATAAGAGATGTTATATGTCTATTAAAATGATGAACGGGTTTTGTGTTTTGGCCCAACTTCATTATTTATTGATACCTTATAATGCTGTATGTATTAACATCTCAGTTCCTCTTGCTCAGAATGTAGGAGATGCCTGCATCATATGATGATTCTAAATGAATTGATAGAGATGCTGTCTTCCTATTTTTTGCGTATCACTATCCTATCAAGCCTTCAAAACTCCATCATGAAGCCATCACAATCATGTCCTTCCCCAAAAACTTCCTTTTTCTCACATCCAGATGTCTCCTAGCTGTCCTTCAAATCATTGTTGCACTTCGTGTAGCATCACCTATTATACTGACTTTTCTCTACCTTATAATATAGTAATTTGCAAGTTTATGTAACCCTTTCTTTCTCCACAACTTGAAAGCAAACTTCTAGGGGGTAGAGATTTTTCTTATCACTGTTTTAATCCTCGTAGTGCCCATAACATGTGATTTCTAATCTATGAGATCGGTGAATTTCAAGGGATTTTGTTTGTTTGTTTCTATTTTGTAACCATTGCTTTTATTCTTGCTATGGCAGGGCCATTTCTTCAAAGGTAACCTTACAAGGAAAACAGTAAAAGGGAAAAAATAGACTCATTCTGTTTGGCAGGGGAGTGATTGTTATATGCCTCCCAAATATCCCCTTTCCAGATACTTCTTGCTGACTCTACAGAACACCTACGGCTCTCTCTATCGTGTCTGAAAACTACAGTATTCAGTTTATATGTCACAGTCAAGCAGGGGGAGGCCTTTTAATATCACCACCTCAGTTGTTTATCTGAAGTCTTAAATTTGTGCTTGGAATAAACTTTCTAAGAGAAGAATACATGAAGATGTATGTGGGCTAGTCGTGAACTTCTGTTTCATACAATTGCATTGTCCATTTATTGTCAAACTTCACCCCTGATAAATACCATCCTCTCTGTTGGAAATATCTAGAAATTGAAGGAAAAGAAGTTGAAGTGGATAACACAATAGAATTAGATGTTTTCAGCAATAAATGACTTAGAAAGAAAGTGCATACAGATTTTTCCCATACTCTCTTGGCTTTTAAAAGAAGAAAGCTGAAATATGAGAAAGCTGACATTTTGCATGCATGCAGGAGCAAGGGGAGAGATGGATAGATTGGTTTGGGGCAGAGTATTCTGTTGTGTTCTGAAAGGTTTGGGTCATCACAGCTAGAGGCAAGAGAAGGACTCAGACAAAAATAACCCTGGCTGTCAGAGGGGAGATTGGTTTTGCTGGACAATGTTCCTATATGTGTGGGAAAGGTTTCTTCGCATAGTGGAAGAAAATTGCATTGAACTGTGATCTCAAGAGGTGCCAAGTTCTGCTCATCTCTAGAGCTATTGCGCATCAATTAGTAAAGACAAAGAATACCCCTGATACAAAGGAAAATTTCAGAAAGGAAACAGAGAAGAGAAAATGGAACGAAAAGGAAAATATGAGATATTGGCTCTTAGGGTATAAAAATTTAGGTCTTCTACAAAAACAGTGTTCTAATAGCATCTCATCGTTTACAACCCAGGTCTTTCTTTCATTTTTCCTCTTCTTATTTTTCTTTTCCTCTCTCTCTCTCTCTTTCTTCCTTCCTCTTCATCCCCCTTCCTCTCTACTTTGTTATTTCATCTCTTTCAGGATGTTGGATGGAATATTTACTTTTATCTGTTGTCTGGGAATTCCTGCTAAGACCCCAAAACTGCTGAAAAACAACCTGGCAATACCACTGCCTTCTAAGAAGAGCCAGCAAAGAGACTGTCTCCCATCCCAGGTCGTTTAGAGGGAGTTGGACAAGCTGAGCTACCCTAATCCAGTCACCTCTGTTCAGTCTCAATAAATGGAAGATGAAATATATGAATAGGGTGTTGTAATTCAGTGGCCTAGTAGGGAATGTTTGTAAGGCTGACTCTCTTAAGATAATTATTGACAGAGATAATTACTCCTTGGTTCTAAAAGACTGACATTTCATTCTTCAGGTTAATATCTGCTTATGAATCCAACTTTCTGATCTACTCTGTGTCTATGTGAACAGGAGGAGAAGAGAATTGTCAAGAGACCCCAGGAAGGGGTCAGAAGCAATCCAGCATTATTTCCACTCAATTCTTTGGAGTGGTAATGATACATGAGTCTCCTGTGGGTCAGCTGGTAGATAGCTGACCTTGAGCCAATTTTCTCCAGTAGGGTGCTAGCAGAGTGGAAGAATTGATTCAGAGCATTTTCCCTGGTAAAAAAACTGTACAGTGGGATGTCCCCACTTGTGAATGTCGTGGAAAGTCATAAGGGTGCCCTGTAAGAGAGATACTTGCCACTCAGGGGAAATTCAAGGTTAGTCCCTGTCGGCAAGGAGAAGGCTACGATAGCATCACATAAGTCAGTGATGTCAGAACTTATCCATCTCTCCTCATTGTAGCAGAGGAATGGAGATCCAGAAGAGGGAGGGGGAAGAAACCTTGCAGAAATCGACCACATCTGCTTTCCCTAAGTCCCTTGAGCCAAAACAGGCGAGAGGAAAACATTAAGTAGGTTGAATATAAGATGGAACTGAAACTTGATTGGACTGGATTTGTTAGACCCAGAGTGACTAGAACATATGGAATGTGTCCAAGATGATGCTCAGGAGACGGGAATTCAATAGAGATTGGTCGAAGACAGCCACTGGAGAAAGATATAGCTATTTCATGTAGGTATCTGCCATGGTCTGAATGTTTGTGTCCCCCCCCAGTTCACGTGTTGAAATTCTAAGCCACCCCGTCTGTGGTATTTTGTTATAGCAGCCCAAACAGACTAAGGCAGTATCCTGACAATTTTAGACTGTTCGGTAAGCCTCATGCTGTTTGGGTGCATCACAGTTTCCTAGTACTTATATTATCTATCATAATACTGTGAAAGTTAGCTGATGGTTCATGGCTTGCTTTCATAAAAACATTCTGAGAATTCAATCTTCTTGGTAATGTGACCAGCATGATTAATAATTGTCTAATTCTTTTATTCTAATAACTTGACCCACAACAATTTACTGTGATTCTAAAGTCAGCTGATAATTGTCTTATTTGTAATGCTAGCTTCTGCTATTTGTGACAAATATTAATGGGAACTTCTCACTGGTAGTGACAGATTTTCTTTTGATTTTCTATTAAATGAAGATAAAAAAAAAAACTTTGACAAATTGCCTTTTTAGATTTTGACATCTCTAAGGAGTGAGTTTTTATTTTTTAAGATGAGACCCATTACACCCAAGCATGCATTAGAAAGCTATAAAACTAAAAGAAGCTTGCTCTGGGATGGATCATTAAGAACCATCTCAGAAATAGATGGAATGGATGTGGGCTTAGCAGTTGCTATCGTAGACGATTCGGCACTTCAGGAGCTTGAGATAATTGTCGATCTTATGTGAATCTCTTCGTAGGCAGTGGAGCAGGTTATAAAAAGCAAAAAGGCGACTGTCCTCGTCAGCCATCTGCAGGGATGGAAGTCCTGACCAGACAGAGTAGACCTCATTTTCTTTGATTCTGGGTTGAACCTAATAACCAAAAAGATAGTGACTTATTATTTGTGTTATTAGTATTTGCTTATCTTTGGTCTCTCTAATGGTTGAATTAAGATGTAGAGATGAGACATGAGTATAGAACTTCTAGACAGAAGCATGGCTTAATGAGCTACTGTAACAGAAATCTGTCATTAGTCTAAAAACTAGAAGAGGAACTCAAGTATAGGTTTTCTCACATGTCTGTGATCACGGATGAAGGGTGTTCATGCAGGAGGAGACAGATGGAGAGCTAGAAAGTTGCTGTTTGAATATAGTAATGAATGTGACCAAGGGACAATGAAGGAACTAGCACCAATTCTCTCACTTGAGGAACTGATTCATTTCCTGAATTTTGTCTCAGATGTGCATTTTGTACTTTGTTTCTTCTGACAGGTCCCCATAATTACATTTTTTTTCTTTGCTTTGAACTGATTCTATTCTCTGTATAGCGTATGTACCAAAGACGTTAGAAACGATGACGATTTTACTTGATGTTTTAAGGTGCAAATAATCTAGCAATTACTATGACTAAAAAGATCTGCTAAAGCAGTCAGGAGACTGTCACACAATCCACCCAGGACAGAGAACACCCAAATTTCTCTGAAGAATATCTGCTTTCTTTTGAGTCTCTGGAGAGGGAGGTACTGGGACAAGTACCTATGAGCAAGCGGGCTGCTGGCAGCAACCCCTCGGTGGTGAGGGATGAGTGATAGGGTGGAAACATACTGTGATAACAAAAGGACTCTGAGCACCATGAGGGAGGAGCATCGTTTGTCTTCACATTCTATCAGCGCCTGCCTGCTGGAAGCCCTGGAGATCTGAGACCGAGTAACCACCTCAGCAGCTAGGAATGTTGACGAGTTTGGAGAACCACTAGGTGCAAATGGGGAATAAGTGTAGACCCTGAGCTGATAAACTAACTATCTCCCGCAGAGTGAGAATATTTTTTAAGCCTGAGATTCCCTATTAGAATTTAAACAGTGTGCGTGTGTGTGTGTGTGTGTGTGTATTTGTTGTCCTGGTTTATGTTTTTCATTTTTGGTGCTTGAGCCCTAAGACAAAATCTGCTGTGCAAGGGACAATGACATGAATAAGAATAAATAAATAAGTAGTAAACAAACAAAAAAAAGAACAGAAAATGAAGTGTTATAGAACAAATGTGGCCTAAGAATGTGGGCTGACGGTAATAAAGACAATAACTTGACAATCTAGGTGTTTATTTCATATGTCCCAAGGTTAAAATGTGCTTTGTGTTGTGTTAGATGTATTCTTCTCCCATGAAAATGACAAAAATGACACATGATAGCATGTACTTTGTACACAATAAGAGAAATATGAAATTGCTCCTGTTATTATTCCTATAGACGTGTTTTTCTTTAGATGATACATTATTTCTGAGAACTTCAGAAAGCTTTTTAGATGTTAACTCACTCCTATTCAAATTGTCCCATCTTAATGGAGATATACATTGCAAATATTAACTCAATTTAAATATGACAAATTATTTGGGGGAGATTAAATACATTGATAGGAGATTTGATTTTGGACCCCAAGTAAAAAAAATTTAGGATAATGCAACTTTCTGTAGATTACAAAATAAAGAACATTCCAGAAAAGATACACCCCTTTCTTTTGGGTACCACTGAAATCAGTGCTTGTGGAAGGTCATTGATGCTGTGGCTTGATCTTTTCAATCTCCTTCCATCCCTGAAAAATACATCCAGCAGAGCAGGCAGCTGGGGGGCCATCTGGGGGGCAACACCATCCAATCTGATTTTCTCTTTTCTCCCTTCCCACTCTCATCCTTTGGTGTGGGGAGAAAAGAGAAAGAACATGAGCTGAATTTCAATAGCAGGTATCCTGGGATACTTTGAGAAAAACATTTCTCCTGCAGAATCTATGCTCTAGTTTTCTTTCTCTTGAAAATATTTTAACCACCTGTCCCCAGGGAGAGGAGGGTCTTTGGTGAATTTGTGTGCAGCAGAGGGAAAGCCACCTCTGTCAAATATCACAGAAGAATCCTAAGATTCACTTACAGTAGGATGGACCACGATGAGTTAGTAAGCTCTTGCTTTATTTGGTAGCAGTCTACAATATAGAACGCTGAAATCTTGTTCTTGCACAGTGAGACATTTCAAAACTCCTTCCTCCCCACGCAGGTCACCTCTTTCATTAATGAGAAAAACAAAGAAACGTCAGGAGGCTGCCCACCTGGCCGACTATCTTCTCCATGCCCTCTAGAAGTCGTCTGTTTTGCTCCTCAATCTCTATGGCTTTTGACAGGATAGCTTCCGGGGCTTCTTGCATACCGCGCACTTCTGAGACGAGGTGATACAGAGGGTCGTTCCAGGAGCGCAAAACTCGGAGGATCAGGTTCAGAAGGTCTTCGTGCTAAGCGACCGTATAAAGCAATCACATTAAAATAAGCAGAATACAATGGGTTTAGTTACATGCGATTTTCGCTTGGAGAGGCTGACCTACAATATCTCTTTGTTATTCCTATGTGTATGCAAAATTTTTCGTAGGTGGTACAAGTTGTAAAAATACAAAATTTAAGCTATGGGCTCAGACTTTGCTAAAATTAAAAGAAAATCTGGCTTATTTAAATGACTACTTTTTCTAATGAGAGTTCTAATTTATAACACGAAGAATTTTGTTTTCCCTCTGAAATCCTACCATCCGTCCACACAGTGAATTCTTTTATATTTGATTGCTTTGCTTGTGCAGGGGAAGAAACCAAGGAGTATTGTGGGAACTCAATATGTGCCTGTAGTACCTGCCTCAGGAAAGATAGATTCCAGGGTCAATGACAAAAGGCTCAAATCATTTTGACCCAAAGATTCATTCATATTAATGAATCAGATCATTTATGAATGTATTCATTTGTGATTTGTAGTTTACTTTATGATGTTAGAACAAAGAGATGATGATGAAGACATGGCATTCATAAACATACTTTCCTCCATCCATACCAACCCCCATGCTGCTATGAGAGCAGTCTATTTTGCTGACATACGCAGGTGAATAAGATGGCACAAGGCTGTCCTTGGTAACAGCATTGAGGGAATTCACAATGGAGACTTTTGCCCCCTAGTTTACTACTACTAGGATTGCGCATCAAACTCCGAGGGACTGGTCATCTGTGATTTAAAATGCTTGCTTTCTCGATGTCTGTGAACTAGTCTAGTGGTAAAGGAAATGAAGAGTAGAGAAGAATGAAATAGACATTACAATGGAGGCATAATTAGGATGTGAAAGAACAAGCGGTAACGAGGTGTAGACCATATAGTGAATGGCAGTAGAGTTTTGCTAGGGCCATTCATTGTAGCATAACAATTAAGAGTGAGGGTTTTGAATTGGATGAAGCCCAGACTCACTGCTTGCTACCCATGCAACTGGTGCAAATTCCATGGCCTCTCTGAGCCTCGGTTTCCTTATCTTAGTAAGTGTAGTAACAGCACCTTGTGTTACAAGATTTTTTGTGAAGATTAACTACAATAAGGCACAGAAAATGCTTTGTAAAGTGAAAGGCAATATAGTAGCTCACAATAAATTTCAACTCCTCCTCCTTCTCTTCATCTTCTTCCTTCATTTTATTGTCATCATCATCATCATCATCATCATCATTATTTATTTTATTTTTTTTGGTGAGGAAGACTGGCCTTGAGCTAAGATCTGTTGCCAATCTTCCTCTTTTTGCTTGAGGAAGATTGTTCCTGAGCTAACATCCATGGCAATCTTCTTCTATTTTGTATGTAGGATGCTCCCACAGCATGGCTTGACGAGCGGTGTATGGGTCCACACCCAGGGTCCGAACCTGCGAACCCCAGGCTGCCAAAGTGGAGCGTGCGAACTTAACCACTACGCCACCTGGCCAGCCCCCATAATTATCATTAATGAGCTTAGGAAACAGAAAGAGTGCTGGCACTATTAACAAAGTTTTAAAGAGAGAACAAATTGTGTTTATGGGGGGTATATATGTGAAGATGTTTATTTTAAATCATGTTAAGACTGGGTTATGGCAAGGAATAAGAAGGGAGAGATTGTGATAAAAAATTGGAGCTGGGATAAAGGATTGGGGCTTGATATGCAGACTTTGTTGTCCTCAGAACAGAGGTAATAGTTGCAGCTGTGAGAAGCAAAACATGGTATTTTGCAGGACTTGGTTTTGGGAGAAACTTATAGTTAAGGAGTAAGTAGTGGCAGAAGAGTCAGTGAAGAATGAAGAAAGAAGTAGGTATCAGAGACGTAGGAGTAGAATCAGAAAAGCCTTGAAAGTCCAAAAGAGATGGGTCAAATGGTGCAGAGATAAGTGACGTTAGATCCTGCCCGTGTAGGAGAGCACTCGTAATGTGTAACAAGTATGCTTTCATACAGTATAGCATGTGCAATCCTGGGTCCAAGGCATTGGTTACAGTAATGCTGTCTGCACGGACAATTTGTAGACCTGTTATTTATTTTGCTGCTATAATCTGTATTCAGCGTTTGATTTTACTGATAATTCAGTGACTACGTAATGTAATTTCTCTTTGATTGCTTACCCTTCCTCCAAGTTTCTCTGCGTGTGCAATTATCATTATCTGTCACACTGCCTCTAATCATCTCCAGCTCGGTAATGCCAGTGTACTGCCTCAGTTGTTTTGGTGAAAAACCTGGAAAGAAGACTCACATGGATCTGTTGGGCTTGCTCCTTGTCTTCAGGGGTAGAGAGGGAAGAAGTGTGGCAGCTGTTGATGGCCTTGGTAACGAAGCCCCGGCCCTGGGCATACCGTTTGTCCTAGAAGTGATCAAGAAAATTCATTTAAGGTTGTTTGGGCATTGAATAAAAGAGTAAATGAACCCATTACCAGAATATTAACCCATTTGATAGACGTATAACGTTTTTTAAATGAGAGTCAGGTAAAAATCAAAACTAAAGAATTAAGAAAGTCACCCTTTTCTTTCCATTCTCTCTAGAAACCATTAGTTTTTCATCCAATTTTTCTAAATTCCAACCTTTTCCCTTCTTTGCAATTTCCTTGTTTGATTTCATCCCTCCCACAAGTTGCTATTTGGAAAGCAAAAACTAAAAATATCAAAAATACAAAATATTCAATGTTTTATTAAGTATCATCTTTCTTTAGTATTTGAACCAAACATCATAGTGTATATGTACCTATATTTAGCCATTTTTAAAATGTCTTGTTTACTGTAGGTCCCAATTGATATGTTCCCTTACTAGGTGTTATAAGGTTACAAATTTTCTTTGGCTAATCTCTGAATCCACACACCTGTACCATACCATGTTCATCATAGATGCGGAATACAATTTTGTTGATTGTGACAAAATCATGTCAGAAAAGCAGAGCATAAAATTTTAGGAAATATTAAGCAATGGACTGACAATAAGAACAGAAAAAATTAGCTAACACATTGACAGAGAAAAACTAATTTTTAGCAAAAGTTGTGCAAATTTAAAGAGATTATTAGGAAGATTTGGAAGATAAAGGATGGTCAGTCAAAAATGGAGGATGAAAGAAAAACTGAGTAAAAAAGAACTACATGAATATACATTTCTTACAAACATCGAGCCACATTCTTTATGGAGATCTTTGATTCATTGAAGCTCTAATCTACTGTCTGCTCCTTGAGTGACCTAAGAGAGTTAACATACCACTTTCAAAGTACTTTAATTAGAGAATAATTGTTTCCAATTCTAAACTAATCCTTCTTTGGTAGTTCTAAACCTATACACTGCAAATCTTAGAACAATCACGCGTGGCATTTTTGGATTTCTGCAAAGTTATTATTATTTGTTTTCCTGACATGGATTTAGCTTAGTTTAACTTTGTTCGATCTACCTAATTCACTGCAGTACAATTTCCATTTACTGGATGTCTACGCTACGCGAGGTGAAGAATGCATACAGAGACGTAACCTGCAGGTGAGGACAAGAAATCAACATGCTCCTTCTTCCTCAGCCTCACCTTAAAGTGCTTTATGTTGAGTGCTGTTACGGATCAAATGTTTGTTTGCCCCAAATATGTTGGAGCTCCAACACCCAGTGTGCTGTATTTGGAGACAGAGCCTTTATGGAAGTAATTAAGGTAAAATGAGGTCACAGGGTGGAACCCTGATCCAATGGGATTAATGTCTGTAGAAAAAGACACACTAAGAGAACTTTCTCTCTCTCTCTCTTTATCCCCCACCTGCCACGTGAGGACACAGGGAGAGGGCAAGCTGGGAAGAAGAGAGTCCTCACCAGAACCCGACCGTGCTCCCACCCTGATCTCCAACTTCCAGCTCCCAGAACTGTGAGAAAATAAATTTCTGTTGTGAAAGCCACCCAGTCTACGGTATTCTGTTATGGCAGCCCAAGCTCACTAATAAAGGTGCTTAAAAATTTTGGAAAGTTTTAAAAATAAAATAAATTAAAGGAAATTTAAAAAAAATGATTACACTCCTGAAGAATCTTCGAGATTCCACGAAACCGTCCCTTTCTTTTTGTTTTGCATTTTATTAGGTGATGCCTTCTTTTACCTATAAGATGTATTATTTGAAATTTGGCTCATGCAGCTTTCTTGTTTCAAGTGTGGTATTGCCCCGTTATTGACGCGAAGGTTCCTTTCGGGAAGAAGCAAGACGTGTGGTACTTACGAATTCGTTGAACATTTCTGAGGAGAGGTTGTGGATGTAGTGGGACAGGATGACCGCGCGGTCAAACAGTTCTCGGAGGGACACCTGGCAGTTGACAGCCCCACTTGGACAGATGGGAAGGGAGGCCACACTCTTGCACAAGAGTAGATCTGACACCAGCAGCAGCAGGAGCAGGAGCGATCCTGCTTAAATAAAAACACCAGACACTCTGAGATGATCTACTCAGCTGAGGTTATCAAAAGTCATCCTGTCGAGGGAAGCCTTGTCTCTCCCCATTGCCCTCAGCATGATTTGGTACTGTAATAGCTGGGCCGGGGAAGAATCAACACCTTCCACTGTGTAAATTTAGTTGTATAATGATGTTTGCACAGATGTATAGTTTGCGAAGTAGCTTACTCCCTGCATTTTTGTATTGCTCCTAGAAGGGCTTCTGTACTTTGTAAACATTTGGGGCTTAACATAATTCTGAGCCACGGAGTGTAGGTCATTCTCTTAGGATAGTTTAACGTCTTGGGAGTGTCTGCAGATTTTCAGCAGCCGGGATTTCTAGGAGTTCGTAATTTTTTTAACTCTATGTTGACTTATACGTGCATTTTAGACGCGGAAATGGCAAGAACAGCACAGGTGATCTGTTTGTTTTACCATGATAAGGGTAAACATGGGATGGATGGATTGCTGATATTGAGTGTAAAGAGAATTCTAACATAACAATGATACGGTAGCCTAGGTCTGCTGACTCATCTTAATAACCCCATGCATTTGCTTGACACTTTGCCAAAAGCTTTAACATTTTTTTAAAATTTATGTTTCCCAATAATCCTGTGAGATAGAATCAAACTTCATTGCTATTATCAAGTTATGTTGATGAAACAGAAGACAGAAAGATTAAATGATTTGCTGCAAGTCCCATTATTAGCAGGTGGGGGAGGCTGGACGCCAACATTGTCATCTTTTCACTTTGTCGTGTTGCGTCACACGCACCCATGGCCACTCAGTCTGCAGATGTAGAACAGGGACCACATTAGGAGCTGTGATGACCTGGTGCTTGCAGAGGTCATGGCCATTACTTGTAAAGAACAATGCTTTACCTTTAATTGCATCATAACAGTGGCCCTAGGAAGTTGATTTCATCCATTTTTTTTCTGCTCTGTCTATAAAACACCTACTTTAAAAATCTTCCACAATTATCAGAGATGATTTGGTCATCAATTTGCTATCTCAGCAGATGGATGGATATGTACCTCTAACATAGCAATAATTTATGCTTTCAAAAGAAAGAAACAATATATTAAAATTACTTTTTAACCTTAAACTACCCCAAGAGAATATCTGATATAAAAATGTGCTTATCAGGAAACCAAGTTTCTATGGAACCTTCAACAAATGTAATTATAAATGTCCAAGATAAAATTAGGCAAGTGCTAAAGATTTATGTATAAAAAAATATCTAAACCTAAGAGTATCTAAAAAGTTGGTTAGTATAGAATGTAACTAAACAAACTTTTAACTGCAAAATAAAAAAATATCAATGTTGGGAGATGATTCATATAACAGACTTTTAATTTTTTAAAAATATGATCTTTCCAAAAAGTTTATTTTAGGTGCATTCATATAGTCATGTAATATAGCTGAATGGATATTTTATCTACAGGTGTAAATAAAAAATGATAGAGAAATTGGAATATTGGTTCTAGGAAATTCATAACTGGATAAATATTAACTCTGACTCCATTTATCTGTGCGTCTATCATCTGAAGGATTTTCACAGTTTAAGATCAGGTAAAATTGATATATATTTTTGTTCTTCATTTCATAAAATAAATTTTACAGTTGTTAATTTCTTTTTCTTGCACATGTCAACCAAGTAAGCAAAGATGATTAGATACTACTAAGCCTGTTTTTCCTTTTGAAATGTCATTTGGCTTAAACCCAGTTGATGAAATATTATAACAGGCAATCCTGCTATCATTATCTATATTATGGCTTCAGAGTTGAAAGTTTCATCAGGTTGACTCACCTTGGCCAAATTACATAAGAGGCCTGGGAACCAGAAAATGTTAGTTTCTGCCTTCTGGAATTGTGATAAATGGGACCCATAGATACTTGTGATCTTATTCCAGTCCAGGGTTTCCCAACCTTGGCATTATTGGCATTTTGAGCTGAACTATTCCTTGTTCTGGAGGCTGTCCAGTGCATTGTAGTATGTTTGGTAGTATCTCTGACCTCTACACAGTAGATACCAGTAGCACTCCTCCTCAAATTAAGACGACCACAAACATCTCCAGACATAACCAAATGTCTCTGGAAGAAGGGGGAGTCCCCCATTGGAGACCCACTATTGTATTCTATCATGCCCTTGTACCATTGCTCTTTAGAATAATAATTAGATAGCTCTTCTAAACTCTGTAAACCTGAAACCTCTTCCTAAGAGAATATTAGCTAACATTTTAAATGAATAGCCCCACAGGAGTGTCGATAAAGCCAACAACTCAGTGAGTTGTTGCACATACCTTTCAGTGACGACCTCTTCTTGTCCATGGTGATGATCATTTCGGGAAACACACTTCACCAGAGAAGATCTGGTAGTCCTACAGCTCTCTCTCTCACAGATATTGGCTTTATAAACGTTTGACATCATTATGAATGTATTTAATCAGGCCTGCCTTTCTCTTTTGCCAGTCACCTGTTTCCGTCATTGAGATTACCACCATAATTTCAAACATCAAATGGTATTTTATTTCTTATTCATATTCAGGAAGACACAATGACCAGAAATGAACATTGGAGAAAGGATTTTGATTAATTAGACCAGAAGGAAATGAGAGAAATAATGAAGGCGAGATCTGGAGAAATAACTAGTTTGGGCTAGAGGACCTGTAAAACTATAGAAGTCATTTACTTTAAAATTTACCTTTATTTCTCCGCCATTTCTTGAATATAGTGTTATATTTCACTTGGGCATCTCACATATTATCGAAGGGTATTTTTTTTTCATTCAAATAGCTGGGTAGATGGAGTCAAAATTTCAAAACTTCCACCCTAAATAGCAGGAAATATAGAATAAGGAGTGAGAAAGTAGAATTTTCACTTACCCATTGTACTCTGGTTATATTTCCCTCCTTTTTTCTTCCTTTTACACATTCTGTTTTGTCCTCTTTAAAATGACACGTCTATGTGGTACTTTGTTTTAAAATGTGCATTTTCATTTGTCCCTTTTGATTTTAATATATATGTAAAGTTATATTATCATCCCCAGTTTACAGATTGAAAAACAGAGGCTTGGAGAGATTCAATGTCAAGAGTATAGAAGAAGTAATTAGTCAAGTCAGATGCTGGAAGGATTATTGCTTCAAGAGGAATCGAGAGGGATGTGAAGAAGGTTTGGAAACGAATCACTTCACAAACATTGCTGTGCACCCACATCTAAGATGAACAAGAGATTACCCCTGACCTGAGGGAGTTTATTCTGGGTTTTCAAGGGCACACACACACACACACACACACACTCACACACACACACCCTGCTATGTGATGAAGTGAAACAAAATTCTAGGCAATCATTTCTCCTCTTCTCAAGCACTGGAGTGGATAAATTGTTCTTAACTTATGATCACTTTATTTCTCTGACCTGTGACTCTGGGGCTAAGGTGACAAAAATTCATCTTTCCTGGGCTCAAAAGTTCCATTTGTCTTTTAGAGATTTCCTAAATGAAATGATTATAATGAATAAGAACTAAGTTGTTGACGGCTTTCTCTGATTTTCAAGTCCATGCATCTAAAGCAGCCTGTGACCTTTCATTTCAGTTCTGCCATATGTCTCTTAGAGTAAATTGATGGATGAGGTCATTGAAAAAGTAATCCCTTCCTATGGCATTTCCTTTTTCTACAGTTATTACTGCCGTGTTTGTGCTTTAGCAATTATCTAACTAGGGGCTCTTACGGGGACCTAGTAATCTCAACAAAGATACCAGATTTTGAATCATCTGCATCGTGTGATGATTTATAGTCTCTGCCAATCTACAGCTGGGTCAGGATTCCATACACCCATACTAGTATCCATTTTTACCCCTGGACAGTGACAGTCTGAATTATGAAGACAGCAATGCTGTGTGGTAGAGAAATTAATGCTGCCCTCCGTTCCCCTCCTCTCCCGGAAGCTTAAGAGTAGGAAAATCTGCCATAAGAACTGACAACTTAATCTTAAAATTTAAAGGTGTTGCAAGTTTTGTAGAAAGCCAGGAAAAGAGTAATCGAAGAAAACCTGAGTTGTGTTTATTCAGTGGAGGCCAACTGATTTATTTGCATCCAAAGAGGTATGCGTTTCTCTGTAAAATTTCTTGTGTGCTTCCCTGCCCCACGTTTCCTGTTAATGGGGTGTTGCAATATTTAAATGACGCAAAAGGCATCTCTTATGCAAAAAGTCATAGCTGTCCTATTTTTTCTACCACGCATATCACCCACTTTTCACCTTAATTTTTGTACACGCTCCTTTGCGGGTCTTTCTCTTTATCAGACGCTGCCTCTAATTTAGAGCAATAAAGAAGTTCACTAAGAATGGATTTGTCTGTTTTTATTCACAAAAATTCATTTGTTTGCCATTGTTGGTCTGAGCATTCAGGATTCAACTGAGAGATGATCAATTTCTGTCAAGTAGCTGAATGAGGAGCTCATATGATGTTAAAATCTCCATGATATTTTTAGTACCTGAAACTAATAAACAATTTTGCCCTCTTTCCTTACTGACTCTAATTTTTAACATTAAGTAACATCAGGTTGGTTTTCATTCCTGTTTGGGGATGGAGCTTGTACTGTCTTTATATTTTCTTTTGTTTATCTATTTTTAAGTTTGGATACTGTTTTTTCTTCTCTCATTTATGATGCAAAAATATTTAAAATGCTTCATATAACTTGAAAGGTTTCTACTGCAAGATATAGTGGGGAATATTAAAGAGCAAAAGGAATTAAGAAGTTTAAAAATCATCAGAATAAATAGATCACAAGGATATTTCAATTTATACTAGTAGTGGATTGTCTGTAATAAAGTGAAATTTGCTAATGATTAAAGATGTATTGTTTATGGATTTAAAAATTCCAAATAGCCATCTTCCAAAACTTGGGCTAAAAGATCAGATAGGATATATATATATATTTTTTTTTTTTTTGAGGGAAATTAGCCCTGAGCTAGCATCTGCCATCAATCCTCCTCTTTTTGCTGAGGAAGACTGGCCCTGAGCTAACATCTGTATCCATCTTCCTCTGCTTTATATGTGGGATGCCTGCCACAGCATGGCTTGACAAGTGATGTGTGGGTCCACACCTGGGATACGAACCAGCGAAACCTGGGCCGCCGAAGCAGAATGTGTGAATTTAACTGCTGCGCCCGCTGGGCTGGCCCTGGATAAATATTGTTTTTGATAAGAAATATCAGAAAATGTGAAGGGCACGTTGGAGAAAGGATCAATCACAATGGTGCTTCCTTGAACTGCAGTGGTTTCAAGATAAGCCAAAGCAATGATTTAATTACATCCTACTATTTACATTCACTTCATGCTTGTAAGACATACGTTTTTTCCCCGAAGTGCCTGTGTTCACTGCTTATCTCTTGCTGAGGCTTTGCAGCTCATCAACTTCCCTAAGTAAGTCCAGAACCCAAGTTCTTAATCTATGGCTGTGTCTTGAGGGCATTTGCTCCTTAAATAAGAAAGCCATAGTGGAAGCATTCGGAAAATCCCCCTGTAATTCCTTTTTCTTTTTCTTTTTTTTCCCTCACTCATATGCTGTTCATATCCTCTGATCTAACTCTGACTTCTCTTTGTTAGCTTATCCTATGAGTTTCTTGTCGCATGCTTGTTCTGAACCATCTGTACTTTTGGACAAATTTTAATCCCTGATATAAGACAATGCCAGATCTAAGGATGATGTGTCAAGAGACTTCACAGAGTCACTCTTTGAGATTGCATTTTTTCAAGTAAAAGCATCAAGTATTTGGCTGTATGCTCATGCTAAGTGGTGCAGATAACTTTCCTTGTAAAAGATTCTTCACACTTCAATATTCTGTGTGTGTGTGTGCGTGTGTGTGTCCCTTGCTCTAATGGGAAGTGGTTCTGAAGCACGCCTACATCTATGGACATATCTCTCTATCTAGACACAGACATATTAATATAGAGAGATTATATATATATATAAATGTATCAAAATATATATCTATATATAGAGAGAGACGCAGAGAGAGAAAGAGAATCATTGTCTAATAGGAAGTGGAACTCTGAGCCATGCCTGCTTCCAGGGATAATTTTAAATCTTTTTTTTTTAAGGTATGCTTTTTGATGAAGAAGATTGGCCCTGAGCTAACATCTGTTTCCAATCTTCCTCTTTTTGTTTTGCCTCCCCAAAGCCCCAGGACATAGTTGTGTATCCTAGTTGTAAGTCATTCTAGTTCTTCTATGTGGGGTGCTGCCACAGCATGGCTTGACAAGTGGTGTGTAGGTCTGCACCCAGGATCCGAACTGGCAAATCCCAGGCCGCCAAAGCTGAGTGCACAATCTTGACCACTCAGCCATGGGGCTGGCCCCCAATTTTAAATCTTGTAGTTAGCACAGCCACCACCAAACAGAACTGAAAGCTATAGCAATAGACTGGGGTCTCTGAGGCTTCCTGCACTGACAGGCATTAATTGTTTAATGGTTCAATTGTGGTGAGACTGTAGGGGTCTCAGGGGACGGGTTGGGACAGTCAAGAGGAGTCAGAACACTTGGGTGGTGACAGCGGCAAATCTGTACTGATCGGAAGTGAAGTATTGCGACATTGTAACAATGCACAGGGCTACACGTGTGCGGACACACCCTCGTCCCTGCCTTCCTCCACTGTTATCTTTTCAATATATTGAAAGAATTCAGACTGAGAAGTAGGGCAGATTCTTGACAGGAAATAATATCCTCCCATTCCAGTCTACACACCCAGTATCCTCCAATACATTTTTCTATTAGAATTTGTCTACAATATATTAGCTGTGACATATCCATCTATCTTTTTTCCTTGTTTATTCATTAAATGCAAGGTGTCTTACTAGTGTAATAAATTCTTTGATATTCAGGGATTAACTAAAGTGACAATTGTTTAGCAATGATCTTTATCATTTGGTATTGAAATATAAATAAGAATTAATTCCTTGATGGAATGCTCTATTTACCAAAGAAATGTGTATATATATATATACATATGTACATACTTTATACTTTCTCTCTTTATATGTATCTATACATATATATGCAGATAGATATATACTAGTACATATATAAATATATATATATGTATGTATATATATATATACTTTTAAACCACAAGGGAAAAGTGAAGGTACAAGGTAATGGTGAGGTTTCCTGAGATAAGGAGATCACAGAATCTTAGCTCTCTCTCATTTTAATAAAATAAGCAAAAAGTGAGCTTTAAAAAAATCCAGCAAAATTACACCTACTGTCAAAGGTGGAAGGAAGTATGAGCATGCTAATTTTTTCATGGTTCAGAGCTGGAATCAATAGATATTGTCAAGTTGATTTTTTAACAAAGGAAAGATGTCAACAGATGATGCAAAGTTATCATTATA